TGTGTTTGATTGTATATACCTGAATCCAATGATTTGGAGGGGTGCCCCAATACTTTCGGCAATATAGTATGTGTAAACACACACAGTATCTATCTAATATAATATCTAATATATATATATATATATATATATATATATATACATACATACACACATATATACGTACACACACACACATATATTATATATATATATATATATATATATATATATATATATATATATATATATACACACACACACACACACACACACACACACACACACACACACACACACACACACACATACACACACTACATACCATCCACAAATATATGTATAAGCTGCAGGCTGTGTTAATAAACAATTTGCATTAACATGCAATCAAATTGTAATAGCTAAAGATTTCATCTAAGAGTTTTCTGAACAGTTTTGGGCATCCCAATCTTTCAAGTGCAAATGTCCTTCTTTGATTTTGACAGAAAAAAAATAAAATTATTTATATATTTTTACACACGCGCGCGCACACTATACAAAATATCACATAGAGGTGACCCGCCAGGGAATAACAGCTGTACACAGAATACTAGGTCTTCAATTTTGCTTTAAAGTCCTTTATGAGTTGATTATGCCCTATAATGGGCTGGAAAAGTGGAGAATGCATTGTACACTGCTCAACAAAAATTAAAGGAACACTTTGAAAACACATCAGTTCTCAAACCGGGAAAAATCTCATGCTGGATATCTATACTGATATGGACTGGGTAATGTGTTAAAAACATAAGGATGCCCCATCGTTTGATAGAAATTAAAATGCTCAACATACAGAGGACTGAATTCAAATACACCCTGAAAATCAAAGTGAAAAAATGATGCAGCAGGCTAGTCCATTTTGCTGAAATTTCATTGCAGCAACTCAAAATGGTACTCAGTAGTTTGTATGACCCCCACGTGCTTGTATGCATGCCTGACAACGTTGGGGCATGCTCCTAATGATACGACGGATGATGTCCTAGTACATTTCCTCCCGATCTGGACCAGGGCACCACTGAGCTCCTGGACAGTCTGAAGTGCAACCTGGCAGCATCGGTTGGACCGAAACATGATATTCCAGAGGAGTTCTATTGGATTTAGCTCAGGCGACGTGTGGGCCATTCAGTGGTATCAATTCCTTCATCCTCCAGGACTGCCTGCATACTCTTGCCACGAGGCCAGGCATGGTCATACACCAGGAGAACCCAGAACCCACTGCACCAGCATAGGGTCTGACAATGGACAAAGATTTCATCCCAATACCTAATGGCAATCAGGGTGCCATCGTCTAGCCTGTAGAGATCTGTGTGTCCCTCCATGGATATGCTTCCCCAGACCATCACTGACCCACCACCAAACTGGTCATTTTGAATGATGTTACAGGCAGCTTAACCATCTCCATGGCTTCTCCAGATCCTTTCACATCTGTCACGTGCTCAGAGTGAACCAGTTCTCATCTGTGAAAAGCTCAGAGCGCCAGTGGTGGACCTGCTAATTTTGGTGTTCAATGGCAAATGCCAATTGAGCTCTATGGTGCCGGGCAATGAGCATAGGGCCCACTAGAGTTGGGCCCTCAGGCCACCCTCATGAAGACTGTTTCTGATTGTTTGGTCAGAGCCATTCACACTAGTGGCCTGCTGGAGGTAATTTTGTAGGGCTCTGGCAGTGCTCATCCTGTTCTTCCTTGCACAAAGGAGCAAATTCCAGTCCTGCTGATGGGTTAAGGACCTTCGACGGCCCTGTCCAGCACTCCTAGAGTAACTGCCTGTCTCCTGGAATCTCCTCCATGCCCTTAAGACTGTGCTGGGAGACACAGCAAACCTGGCAATGGCATGTATTGATGAGCCATCCTGGAGGAGTTGGACTGCCTGTACAACCTCTGTAGGTTCCAGGTATCACCTCATGCTAACAGTAGTGACACTGACCCTTGCCAAATGCAAAAACTAGTGAAAACCAGTCAGGAATGGTTTTACAGGTAAAGCCCAGTAACATTTTTTTTTCCCTACTCATCTTTTCTGTTTTGGGGGTCATCTTATTGTTGCCCATCTAGTGCACCTGTTAATTTTATTAACACCAAAAGCAGCTAAAACTAACAACTCCCTCTGCGTCTTAACTGACCAGATCAATATCCCAGGAGTTTAAACTGACTTGATGCTATACTCTGGCACCAAAGGATGTCAGCCAACCCTTGGGTATTTGTTTCACTTATTCAGAGGGAGGGGAGATATGTTGCATACTCTTCTAGAACCAGCTCATCAGAAGGAAAACCAACAGCCAACTGCTATTTTACTAAGAAAAGCCTGTGGTAGGCGGTAGTGACAGTGTTCATGTGTAATTCACATCTATGGGTAACTGATATTTTGACATAAAATAATGCTATTTTATTCTGAACACCACATGAGAAAGCCTACTTAAAAAGTGTTACTAAACCCACAAAAGTAAAATCAGTCTGTATATGCAGTAAAGCAAGCTCGTTATACTGTACGCACTGTGAAAACTGAGGGGTTAATCCTCCACATTGTGTAAAAAGGCTGTTTGATCCTGTCTTCTCTGATACTATCCATCCTTCTACTGTCCCCAATTCATCTACTGATAGCATAGAGCTCTACGAGTTACTCTGCACATCATGCTCAGTTTAGTGTATATGGCTAGGGAGTTTATTGTTTTTTAAATCTTTGGGAGGGTGCATATGATCAACACAAGGCCAAATCAGAATGAGCACAGGGTCCTGGGTTTAGTAACACTTTAATGGATTTAATTTTGAAAAAAAATTTTTATATATATTAATCTACAAATTTAGAAAGTAGGCCCATTGTTGGGGATTCACAACTTTGGTACCTCCAAGATGATTAAACTTTATAACAGAACATCTACTAGTACAACGTGGAAAGCCTGCCAAAGTTTTTATGTTGGATCATGAATTCAAGGAACAGTTTATTAAAATAATAAAGAACCGTGGAAACCACCAATCAACACAACAATGTCTGAAAACACACAGAATGCAGAGGGGCTAAATGTGCAAACCTATTCTACATATAAAATCCCTTGTAGCCTCCCTGGCGGTATTTCCGAGTGTAGCTCGGGGTAAAGTTTCAGTACCACAAGCGGTAACCCCGAGCTACACTCGAGCTTACCATCCGGCGCTGCTCCACGATCCCTCGATCACTTACCTTGTCCTGCGCTCCCGCGATGTCCCTGCTGCAGTGTCCCCGGCAATGTAATCCGGCGGATGCCGGCATCTGTCATCTGGGTTCCATCCCCTGCAAGCGTCGGGATGTACGAGGGACGGAACAGTGGGAAATTTGAAAATTACAAAAAGTGACATTCACAAAAATCACATAGTAAAACATTACTGTACCAAACCATTTCACATACATTTTGTCCCTAGTGCTTTGTCCTGTGCCCTGCCTGCATTTTTACTGTTCTTTCTACCTGGAAACTGAGAAATGTCCATGGCGTCCAAAAAGCGTCCCTTTAGGTCAAAAGCAGTTTTAGACCAGCTAGAGAACAGCGATAGTAAATTAGAGCCACTTGCAGAATTGAGTGATAATGATTCGTGGGGAAATTCGTCATCAGACACTGGAAACGATTTTGCGACTTTGCTCAGTGATGTGCGAACTTGGCGCTATATTTCAAATTTCAGTGTTTTTGGTTTGATTATATTATTGAATTAAATGTATTATTTTTTATGATTATTTATTAAATTATAATTCATGATTTCGTGTTTCAAATTTTATCATACCCGGGATGTTTACTAGACTCTTGTTCGGACAGATTTCAGTTATTCCTAAAAATTACAGGCCTACAATATAAAACGCCAAATTTCCATGCAAAATAATGGTACCGCTTTCAGCACCAAAAATCTGAAATAATCATACCGCCAGGGAGGTTAAAGAGCTCAAGCCCCACTGAATGACAAAAAAAAAAAAAAAAGACAAATAGTGAGTCAAACCTGGCCATGTGACATGTCAAAGACGTGATCAGCCTCTTATCTAATCTCACACATTTCCTCAACAGCATAATACAGAATACTCTGACATCAAAAGCTGCACACTACAGCCTGCATTTTATGAATGGCTTGTAAAACGCAGATGCAGTGTGAAGTAAAACACTGGTGTACTGTGAAGAGAATGGAATCCACTCTCCACTATGAACAGCAGAGGAACGCCATAGTTACATGTGATACTGATCAAACAGCATCAATAAACCCTACCTGTTATATTTTTCATTGAAATCACCAGAAGGATGTGAGCTGCATTCCATCATGAGTGTGTAGGAATCGGTGGAGGATAGGTGCCAAGCTTTATATTCGCTTTGATAATAGTTGGCCGGTTTCAAGACTTTGATCAGTCTGACATTTGAAACATAGTAAAGTAAAACACCATACACATTGGAGGCAAGAGTACCTGCTTCCGTTTTTGGGGGAGTGGTGCTTACTGCACATAGCTCACAGTCTGGTCATCATAAAGTGAACATCACTGATGTTTTGCTGGTCAACGCCAGCTAATGCATGCCAAATGTTACATGGAGCATCTGACACGCATCAACCGAACTGCTGTGAAACAGCGACAAACCTAGATATACGTCAATCTATACAATCAATACATCCTGCATTACAATCTATCTGCAATCAATAAGCAACCCAGCAACATCTTAATAAAGCAACTGTCAGTTTTTAAGGTGTCTTAATTACTAAACAAGTAGCACCATCAAATAAAGGTGAGGCAATGTCGGTCACTCCAAAAATAAATACCCAATGTCCAACCAAGTGGAAACAAATGAAAAAAGTCCTTCCCAAGTTCTCTGTGTATCCTAATGGAGTTTTCTTTAAATCCTCCAATTCTTAGTGATCTTTTCTCCACTACTCCTTAGAGCAGGCGTCCTCAAACTACAGCCCGCGGGCCACATGCGGCCCGCCGAGGACATTTATCCGGCCCGGCGGCAGGGGCGTATTTTCCACGAGGAAGGGACATTAAGTACAGGGG